ATGGATAAGTACGAATGTCATTTTTGGTATTAACAGTTCACTGCTAAACACGTCACTCAGTACTATGGAAACTGTCTCCATAAAAGCAAACAAAGCAGAAAAAAAATTTTTTGAGGCATTTACGCCACAATCTACTGAACAGTGAGATGAGGTTGACGCAGCGGTAACCGGTTTTGAAATATGAAAAGACATAAAATTTTCAAAATTTATCTTTTGATTAATATACCAAAGTAAATCAGTATCCAAAGAGTTATCTATATAATGCAAGATAAATACTGACTAAATTTACAGCGGAAAGACCCTTAACTTTTTATGAAAAAACCCTTTAAAAAGCCTAAACTTAGAATTAAATACATAAAGGTCATGAATATCATCAAGTCTCTTAAAATCGTCATCAAACAATTCTTAATAATGATATAAAAGAACATGTTTGACTTTCGGGTAAATACGCATCACAATTCTTTTCTCACGTATTAGTATTTCTGTTTCTCCTGTAATAAATACCTGCACTCCTGGTCAAAACAGCTTAGATGCCTTCGTCAATATGAGGTGTGGTGAAAATAAGATAGTGTTTAATAACCAAAATAATTATTAGGTTCTTACGGGACGTATTGATGTAATGTCCTTATTATTTGCTAGGTTGGAATAGTATATTCGGTTTTGTTGACTTGTGAAGCTGTGGTACCTGCTTATCATGATAAACGCGAATTGCTTCTTCAGGATAATCCTTATTTGTCTGGAAAGGAATAAGATATGGTAATAGCTCAGGAATTGTTTTCTTATTGTTTGCTTTGAATAATAAGAGTACACAAAGCCAATAATCCATCGATGATGAACGAAATCTTCAAGTTATAAATTAAATGACTGAATTGTATTACCTTTGCAACTAAACCACTATTTGCAAGCACATTCTTCGACTGTTCTTCCAGTTCGCCACCGTAATCCTCTTTTGATGTATGCTGTCCTTCAAGCTTCTCCTGATTTCTCTCGGATTCCGAAGTAAGCCGCGTCTTCCGAGTTCTCCGTACTCCACCAGCGATTTTTTCGGCTGGTGCATGACCACCCTTTAATACGTCACTCTGCTTGCTTTCACCCATTCGGTGTATGTTGAAACTGTATAACAAATAAGCAGTTATAGATCGAAGCACTTGATTTATTCTACATTAACAATAATGAAGTACAACACTTAAATTTATTAGTTATGTTTAAAATAAATATTAAAATATACCTTTAAACGCCTATCAAGGGATTTACTATAATTTAATGGATATAATATTGTTTTTCCATCTCATAGGGAAGAGTTATTTGCTGAGCAAATTGGCCAAATTAAAAAGTTTGTTGATTAATTTTGATATTTGCTTATTTACCTAATAATCTAACTTATGCAACCATTTATCTCCTTCCGATCTTATCTGTTCTTCTAATTGCTTATATTTTATTGTCTGTTACTGCTTCAGTTAGAAATATCGATCAGTCCGAATAATGAAATATATTTCTTCCTGGTTTTATAGCTAGATTTGCTTTAATTATATATTT